TTGAGTCCACTGGCCAATTATATTTGGTCCCTTGAAAAGAGGTGGCTGGCAATTAGAGCAAATATTATTAGAGCACTTACTAAAAACTTCCTGTGTCTTTAAGTTCATATCTATTAGGTAACTGTAATGTCTGTGAAGGCTTTCAGTCATCCAGGTCCTCGTAGTCTAAAGAGCTTGGAAAGAAAAGCGTCTGGACATCTTCTTCTTCTTTATATTTTGAAGACGTTTCACCTCTCATCCTGTGAAAACAAGGATGCCAATGTTCACATTTTGGACAAAGAAGACAGATGGTTTGAAAGAGGAGTGTTAGGAGCCATCTATGTCCACTGTGAACAACCATCTTTGAATAGAGGTGGTGGCTTACGACACAAACTGTCTGCATCTATAATCCAGTTTTGAGATCTCTTCCCAGACGCCCACTCACATCTTGGGCCATTTGACCTCAGTAAATCATGTGATAGGGAAGGGCTAGGTTTCGCAATGGGTTCATGCGAAAACCTTGGCTCATTGTGACCCACACCCAGGCTCATGTGATTAGACGGAGGATCCATGACGGGGTCCATGTCCCTCTTAGGGTCACTCCCATAGGGCTTAAAATCTGTGAATCTCCACCAATTACTCTTCGAACTGAAGAAGCTTCGCGGATGAGAGGTGAAACGTCTTCAAGAAACTTAAAGAAGTCCAGATGCTTTTCTTTCCACGGTAATTTTAATGTTATGTTTTGGTCACCTTCCTGTGTTGCCTGCATGTTAATGTTACTGATGTGTCCTCCTCAAGTCCCAGAAACACATTTGGCAGACAATAACAGTGAAACAATTGTTCTTCCATATAACGCTACTGTGGCTAAAAGAGAAAACTTTGCACAATTTTCCAAAAGAGAGATTCACTATCCAAAATACAACTTGGATGAATATCATCCACACAGGCTACTAATACTTTTTTCTTTTTAAAGAGCAAGATATATTAGGTGCAGATTTGTCGTTCACGTTCAGCGCAGTCACTGGGGAACCACCAGTTTTCCCGAGCGGTGTAGAACTTGCTGTCCTGTTATTCTCTAGTGTGACAGGGCCATCAGTACTGTATAAATATTTTGTCTCTTTCCTCTCTGTGCAGGATTATCGGTCTCCCTACAGGAATAATCAGCTTCTTCCTGGCTAAGAGACAAGTGGACAAAAACAGACTGAAACAGTTAAAGATCAGACAGAGGATGAAAAGATCAAATGAAGGCGAATACGAAGGGAGTCGCTACCGCCATCATGCAGTGGATGTTAAACTCGACCAGTAATTTATGTTGCAGCTGTGATTTGCATCGTATGCACAGTATCCCACACAGAGACTCTTGGATTAAAGACTGATCAGAACACTGATGTAAAGTTCACCCATGTCAGAGGTAAATGTATATTTGAATAAAATCATCACTGGTACAATCACATTAAGACTCAAAGAAAACTTTATTTATAATGATAAGCAAATAGATTTTCTGTAGCACTGATATATTTACAACCCCCTCTTCCACACTAACCATCCGTGGTGTACAGTAAACATGTCTGCCTCTGTTGATTTGACTCGAGGCTTTTATAAACTTTCAGCTGTGCTCTAAATTTGTCATTAATGGTCTTCGCTAATCATCTCAGGAGAAACATTTGGACAATGAAAGACTGGAGTTCAGAAATGTTCCAGTACTTTAACAACATGGCACCGATAATGCTGTCCTGTGTGGAAAAATCCCGCCCTGCCGGCCCTCGCTGTCTGACCCACATCTGACTAACACAACTATATTTACAGGCACACATATAATAACTCTATAAAACATATAACCCTGTATTCTGTAAAGTCAAAAAAAAAATTAAAATAACAGACATTGACACGGTGAAGGCACTGAAGTGATATAAAGGAGTACAATTCAAATAAAGTGACCTATATTACTTTATCTGAATAAAGTAATATAGCAGAGCCGTGGCTGCCATTAGTGGCGCCGAGCTGTGCTTCAGGGGTGGACATGTCCCAAAATACTGACTCTGCTCATACTTGAGTAACTGAGATCAAATGTTGTGGCAATGCCCACCCCTACTGTACTTCATAATCTCAGAAAGTTACACTTTAGGATTTGCCTTGTTCTTGTAGCATTTAGACACATGGGAGAATTCATTTGTAGCTGTACATGTTCATACACAGAAGAGAGATCAGACACTTTCTGCATTAAGTCCAGTAATATGGAATAAATGTTGCAGATGGGATTCAAGTGTCTGTAGATAGTTAGGTAATAGTATTCGTCATAACCACCGATAAGCTGTTAAAGTATATAAAAACAAATATAGATTTCATACAAAGTGCATTTTTGGGTGATGTAAACTAACGCTCAGATTTTTGGGGGGCATCACTTTAAAATATCTTTACTTGCCAAAAAATAAAAAACCGCAGAGGAAAACCCCCCAAAAAAACCACTTAACAAGGCATGATCAGAGATATTATACAAACAACGATAAATGGAATTATTCTAGGGCTGTCAACATTAACGTGGATTAATCTGTCGTCATGATGAACACGATCAAAATTTTCAATGCAATTAACCCATTTGGAGCGAAAATGACTCAAAAATCCCTGCATGCATCAAGGCAATTTGGGCAGTTTGCACAAAGTTTGTCCATTCTGCGCTCCAGGTGGTTTAATTGTGTTGAAAATTTAAAATTCCTTTAATCATGATGACGGATAAAGCCGCGTTAACATTAACAGCCCTAAATTAGTCATAACTTTTTTTAAAGGTCTCCTTAGTACAGCTCTCTGAAACAATGGTTCAGTCCACACCTTGACTTTTCTGTTCAGGGGATGAAAAAAAAAAAAAATCCAACGAATAACAAAAACAAATCATTAATTTTTACCACAGCTCTGATCAGCTGGTCATGGCTGGATCACAGAACAAGAAAATAAATGTTATTATTGTAAAGTCATCCAGTTAACTGAACATTTAAACATTAGCTTACTGCAGACTAGCATGCTTTAACACCTCCACATGGATAACACAGTAGATGGAACTCCAATACAATATATATGGTGGGAAATTACATCATAAACACAGAAGCCCACTTTCATGGCACACCATGTTACTTAAATGCAAGTTTTTCATGTAAAAAGACTGACCATGTAACAAGAGCTGAGAACAGATTAAAGAAGCTAATCATTTACTTAGCTGATTGAAGCATTTCGTGTGATTATACTAGATTATACTCTAACTATACTAGAACGCTCCTTTATCAGCTTTCAGCTGTGTTTGGAAAGTTTTTTTGTCTAGGGATCAATAAGCCTGGTCCCGTGATAAACCTGCATTAGGTAACACAATACACCTCAGCAATGCAGGAGGGAAAATGCTGAAATTGACTCCAGTTTTCTTATGAAAATCCCAAACCATAAATTTACATAATCTCACATAATTTGGACATTTACAATTAACTGTCATTAAATTGATCAGATCATTTCTGATCAAGTTAATTTGTTATTAGATGAAAGTTCTTCCTTTCAAGAAAAGGGTATATCAGCGTGACCCCAAACATTTGAGCAGCAGTTTAGGTTTAATCTACAATGTAAAATCTCATATTCAGCCCTTAGACATTTTCCCTGAAGAGCACCATGGTCTTAAAAATCTTTTAATGTCTATTGGAAAAGTAAAGCTTTTCAAAAGCATGGAATGATTTCACTACACTGTGCCGCTGGATTTTTATTTGGTGGAAGCACCAATAATTTGCAACAGGAAAAGGAAGATCTGGATTATATCGACGTAGATGGAGAGTGCAGCGAACACGTACTCCTCTGGACTAATGGAGTGCTTTCTGTTTCCAATCAGTAGCTGAGTGTGATATGCCAGGAACTGCAAGACACAAACAGTTACAAAAAAAACTGAGCACTATATCAACAAATACAATGAGGGCTGCTGTAAGATTTAAGGTGACTTTTCCACTTCTTTGTAGCTTTAAAGTGAAATACTTACCAGAGTGAAAACTATGGCTCCTATAGCCGCATAAAGCATGTGAAGCCAAAATATCTGCAACAACAAAAAGTCATTAAGATAACAAGAAAACCCAAGAAGGTGTCAGGAAACAGTCACAGTCTTCACAACAGCAGTAACTCACGTATTTGAAGGACAGCACGATGGCTGTAATGATGCCAGTCACGAACACGACGATACCGAGGACACAGAAAAGGCCCTGGCACTTGGTGAAGTCGACCTACAAAGAGAAATTGACAGCAGGCATCTCAACGCGTGGCCATGAACAAACACACTGTGGAGATTTAAAGCTGATAAGCAGAAACGTGCACGCCCCTACCTTCGTCTGGAAGCAGAACACTGTGACGGCGATGCAGACGACAGCTGTGATTCCCAGCGCAAGAAACACTGCTTTTGTGTCATAGTAACTAAAACCAAAGCACAACACACAGTCAGCAGTGAGGAAACCATCAGAATCTTTTTATCACATGAAAGGGACTGTGTATATATATATATATATATTTACCTGGATATGGTTCCAGTCATATACGACAAAGACAGAGTCTGTTTCACAAAAAAATAAAGATCAGATATAACTACAATGAAACACTTCTTGTCCAACCACAAACAGCATAATCTTGACATGCGGTCTAACTCAGTGTCAACACAATACTGTGATAAAAGTCCCAGTGTCATGTGGGACTCCTACAAGTCCACGTGACAATTCAGGAAATAAGAATACAGAATAAAAAAAACCCCACAAAACCTTTTATTATGTGACAAAATGCAGATCATAAAACAGCTCAGTCATGTTGCTGTTTGAGCTGATAAACTGAACACTCAAACGTATCAACAGGTAAAATGCAAACAAATGTGGTGACTCACTGCTTGGCTCTGATATCAAAATTACATTTCAAGTACTGTGATAAGGCTGTCATTGGATGGAATGTCTCGCTGACAAGGACAAAAAGTGTTTCAGTATGACTTGATCCAAGTCCAGGAAACTGCTGGTAATGACCACAACCACAGGTCATACTTACAAAGAGGCCGAGCAGAATCATGTTCCATGGGAACTTCCTCCTGCAAAATAAGTTGGCTTTCAGTACAACGTTGGTTTAAAACTGTTCAAGTACAAGTATTTCCTCTTAAAACATAATAAAAGCAGGCAATCACACTCACCGGGGGCCCTTGCAGCAGACCAGCACGATGTGGGTGATGAAATACACCGCGCTAAAATGTAGAAATGAATCACAAAGGTACAGTTCTTATCCATGAGTCAGCACATCACTTCGAATGATGTTACCACAGAGGGAGACTTACTATGATGCCCAGTACACAGCTGAGTTCTTCCTTACAAAAGATTTGACAGGTTGGCTGTAACAAAGAGAGGCCCAGTTAACACCAGGAAATGCTCACACGCAAAGAGCCTGAGAAAGAACACAATCTGTATACTCACACAAACGTGAATATGGCGACAATGGCTGTGGTGACCAGGAGCTGACACGCCAAGATCAAATACACCTTAAAAAGAAAAAAATATTCACATTATTTTATACTCTGAATACAGAAGCTATTGGATTGGTCCAGTTTGTGTCTGGCATATCTTTGTGCTCATTTGCGTATGATACAAAAAAAAAAAAAAAAAACTAGCAGTATGTAGTTATGAATTATACATTTTCTCAAAATATGGTGGAATCTTTTAAGCTACAATGTAACATATAATTATTTATTTTATGTGCTTTTGTTGTTCACTTAAAATAAATCATGCCAACACTGAGCAGGTTGGAGCTCGTCAACAATAAAAACTATACAAAACAAAAGACTATGTTGGAATCAGGATGCGGCAAACCAGGACACCAGTCCAGGAAAGCACGTTGGGGGAAGAGATTTGACACTCCACCTTTTGAAGTGGCAAAACAGTCAGTGCCAAGAGTAAAGTCAACACAGCCATTCATAGCTATCCAGTTACAAATGCATCACAAAAACTCATAGGAGACGAGATCTGGTGACCACGCATATTTAAAAGTCTTAAGACACTCCCTGGTCTTTTTCTTCAAGCAGTTCTTTACAGATTTACCAGTGTTTGGGCTTGTTGTCCCACTGCCAACCGGTGGGACAACAAGTGAACCCAGGATTCGTACAGCAGTCGCTAAAGACTGGAAGACAACATTAGTGAAAACAACCCTGTGCTTGCAAACCAAAACAAATGTGTCTCGCACGTTCACACACTATCCATTTAACTTCGAGCCAGAAAGGTTGTGTACAGGAAACCCAACAAAACAACACTCAGTGACAGCTCTCAAGTTCAGTGCCAAGTAAACTTAGTTTGGCTGTTCTCCTATGCTTTCTGTTTTGCTGTGTCTTCGTTTAACTGCCCTACTGTTACAGATGAAGAAGGCACATAAGTGAAATCCTTAAAATACCAGAATCAAAGCAAGGCTGCACTCTGCC